TGACTCATCTTTAAAAATATTTGGCTTAACGTAAATTCCTCTGCTTTTATTTCATTTAGGGTAATCATTTACGAAAAATGGATGGTCGTCGAGTTATTTTATTAAAAAAAAATAGAAATGCAGTTTGAGAGACGATTCGATGATGCGCGCTGTCGATAAAGTGAATCCACTTTCCCGCGAATAGTGACAGTAGCTTTGCTAGGCAGTTCCATGTTGAGGACAAGGTTGGGGCCTTTAGCCCTCGAGTTAACATAAAACATCCCTGAGTCTTTCCAACGCATAATTACCCATGCACTTTATGCAAGACACGGTGTGTGTGGCTGACACATTCCCGTGGAAAGTGGCGTTTCACTACATGTCCGCCAATATTAAACATTCTTGAGTCTGACCACACTATTACCAGGCGCGAATCCAAGAGGAGAGAAATGAAGACCCCCCCCCCTCCTAAAATTTGTCTGTAAATTTAAATTTGAGCTCGTCGCGAAACTTTCTAGCAAAAATAATTTAGGATAATCATTAAAACGAATAAAATCGTATCGCAGCATGAGCTGATTTTAGCCTCCGACATTCTACAAAATCTGTAATGATACATTGGACCAACACATTTTTAATTCCCCCCCAACATTTTTCTCTGAATCCGCCCCTGTATTTACCTATGCATTTTATGCGAGACACGGTGTCAGCGGCTGATGTACCTTTCCGAGGAAAGTGACGTTTCGCTACTAAGCAGTTGAAGTGAGTTGAGTCTAAGTTGAAGTCGAGGTTCGGACTTTCGGCCCTCGCGTAAATATAAAGCAACCTTGAATGAGTCCAAACATTATTACCCATACATTTTATGCGAGCCGGCTGACGGACTTTCCCGCGGAAAGTGGCGCTTCACATGTTCGCCAACATAAAATATCCTTGAGTCTGCCCAACGCATAATTATGCGTATACATCTTAAGAAATTTTTGGCATGTATACCTCTTCAATATTTTCAGGCAAATCATCAATTTTCTTGTTTCCTGTTTGCTTCACAATTTTTTTTCCTCCATGATCACTCGCGGGTGAACGAATACACTTTTATACAACAAATATATTTATTACAAACAGCATTTCAGCCCCCCCCCCCCCAACAAAAATTACAAGTTTCATCCCTGAAAAACGTGTTTCAAGGCAAAGTTCGTATTGGCACTATTTACTAGGCTGTCCGGGTGACGCCGCGTCCATGGCGAAGGTGCCGACGTTTCGGTCGCCATTCTGCGACCTTCCTCAGGGCGTAATGCCAATGCATTCGTATTGGCACCTTCTATATTCGCGTTCCGCAACTCAAAAACAGAATAAGTATCAAAACTTTCTGCTCATTAGCTGTTTTCACGTTCCATGTGGCTGTACTACCTCCCCTCAAACGGGGTGTTAATTCGCACCTCGTAGTTTGGACGGAACCACTAAGTAACCAAATGTTATTTGTATCACGATGCAAGAAATTTTATTATCAATTAAGGATGTAAGAAGTATTAACCACAAAGTATATTACTATATAAATGTAATATGACGAACAAACAGCTATATTAGTGTTTCGAGACTGAGGCTGTTTATACTTTATATTAAATTTATATTGTAATATACTTCGTGGTTGATATTATACCTCGTTCCTTAATTAATAATTATTATAGATTATTACAATATCTTTGCAACCGCCACGAATTTGTTATTTGTATCATGGATAGGACTGAAATGAAGCGAGGGTTTCCCACTAAATTCACTTGGTACAGTCCTAGAGTGACAGAAACGATTAATTTATGCTTCCATTGAAATCACTTGTGGCCAAATTATGAAATGGAATTAAAATTTGTAAATCACAAAAGAAAGCAAGTACTACATTGAGAATAAAAAATGAATATTCCTTCAGCATTGGATTAACCTTTAATAATTAATATCCTAATCCAACCAACACAAGCAAAAAACACGCAGATTTAATGATTTGAAAAATAGGAAACTTTGTTGATTTTGAAGTTTATTCATTCATGAGACCACTCCTGTTAAGTTCTCAGTTGCTTGACCCATTGCCTCACAATCAGTGGGTAATGGCCTAAGGTTTTTGTTTTTTTTTTCCTTTAATTCTATTTTACAAAATAAAATAACTTTTTAAAGGGGCATTGCAAACAGTTAATCTACTTGCATTGCTCATTAACAAGATGAATTGAAGTATTGTGATAAATCAGAAATCAAGAGTGAAATCTGCACAAGCACACAATTATTATAATGAACACTTCTCTCTTCACACAATGCATTTGCAATCAAAGTAATCATACATGACAATTGAAAACTAAGACTCACTATGAACTTCATTATTTCTAAAAATGTGGACAAATCTGTGAGTAATCCCTCCTAAATAATATACAACTTGTACAACTTGCGTGAATTAGGCAGTCATTGTTGAACTGCTGAAAATTAATAGTTCTAGATAGATTTACAATTATTTTAGTTTAGTTCTTATGAAGATTTTCTTTAGAACTTAATTAGAACTCGGGCAAACCTAAACAAAATATTAACCCTTACTTCTAGGACCTTGCAAAAAGAGATCTCATTTTTGTGGTAACTTTCAAAGTGATCAAACTACAAAACTGAATGAGGTTATTCTTCAGAACACTTTTTACCCACCATTTTCTACTAATCTATAAAGAAAATTAACTAGCACCCCCTATCACCAGTGTTGGGATGTTATCACCCGTTTCTTCAAAACAGCAATATTCTTGATGGCAATGTTTTCAATAATCAAGAATCTTTTAGATTTATACACAATATCACTATGCATTTTAACTATGATTAAAAAACTTGCTTCCAGAAATCCCAATTCTATTTCTCGACAGAAAATAATAAATCTACAAATGGAAGTCACGGTTTCAAAAGTATTTTCTTTAGTTGTGACCAAAGCAATTCCTTTCAACTCAATTAATGACAAAACTACTAGTTGCTACAACCATCTTAAAGTGGTGACATGGAATTAGGCTCGATTCCTGAACTGAATAGTTTATTTGAAAAACCCCATAAGCGCCACTTTTTTCAGAATTGACTTTTTAGTAAATTAGTGTTTCAGACTTGAATACATCATTTAGTGCAGATATCTCACTTGTGCAGTTCTTGGAAGCAGGGTAAATTGAGCTATGTATATCACGTTTAGTGCAGAAACTACACAAGTGCTGATGCTTACAGGTTTTATGCAATAAAAATAATACATTTTGTTCTTCAGCAAAGAGCATAATTTTCTTAAAAGGTATTGTTTGTACATTAGAATTTAAGTAACAATATTTGGTTTGGAACACACAGAAGAGCCATTACAATGAAGAGAAAACGTGAAGTGACCCATAAGGAATTTTCAAACGCTACTCCATTTGAACCGCAAACAGTAAATGGTGAAGTTAAATATCGCACAAAGGGAAGAGGGTGGAAGAAACAACTTGACCTAATTCTGCTGATTGTACACTTCAGTGTACAAAGAAATGCTATTTAATGTACAGGATGAAATCATACAAATTTGGAAAGGATTTCTATGGAATGTAAAAATACTCGAGATATTTATCTCTGAACACTTAGCGAGGCCAAAAATGTCAACCTGAGGTGTAAAACACATTGGATGAAGGGTAATACTGATCTGGAAATGAGCTCCCAAAGCCTTACCAATAATCCTAATACCACATAAAGAGGTAAACTTTGTATGCTCATTAAAACAAATGGTGGACTTGAAACTGTGAAAATTACTTTTATGGCCGAGCATTCAATTACCACGGATAGAATGATGCTATGAATTAACTTCTTGTATCCCAATACTGTAAAGAACGGATGAAGAAAATGGAAATATAAAAATTGAAGATAATATACCACAGGAAAAGAGTATATGATTGTTTAAGAGAATATGACTAGTGTTTAAGTGACCAACAACAGACCAAAAAAAAACATCTTCAGCCAGATTAATTCAGAGCATACCAATATAAAAACTACCATATTTTGTACTTTCCATACATTTTTCTAAATTAACCTAGGTTTTAATACTCCTAAGTACTTAAATTGTTGATCCCCCCTTCCCAAGCTAATAAGTTCTTATTTTTGTATATTATTTAGTCAAAAATAAATCTGTTTATTACAAACAAACTCATAAGGGCACTAATTTCTTATACTATTATTAAATATATACAACTGAATTTCACTGATATTGGAAGTTCAAGGGGTTCAGAAAGCCACATATTTTAGTACACGTTTTTGAAAACTGACAACACAATATTTTGGGATCTATTCAGTTCTTCTTACTTCCATAAAATAAAATAAAAACTTACAAATTGGTGCCTAAAGGGTTTTTTAAATAAACATCAATTTCGTCAAGAATTTCACACCTATTCATTAAATAATAATTTTTACAAAGAAAAAAATAATGATATGTAACCACCCTGAGAACTCAGAAAACTTAGGAAAGGAAGAATTAAAAAAATAAAATAAATATGCAAAACATTTAATATTTTTCCTTTTCACACATTACAGCTAGATTACATTTTCACACAATCCCAATCAATGGGAATTTTATGGCAAAACAAATTAAATATTCAGGGCCACTTCAAATTCTGAGATGGGGTGGAAATTAAGCAACAAAACGGCAAATAATGATACAACAATAGCAAAATTTGAAGTGAAAAAACTTCACACACTAATTTTTAATGAATAAAAAATATATTACATAACACAGAGTTAAGATAAAAAAAGTGTTCCTACTCAATGTGTCCAACAATTTAAAGAAATTATTTCCACTTGAAAGCTTCTCCAACAAAGTTCATAAGGCAAATTACTTCTTTCAGATAAATGCAATCAAGGTGAATGACCAGTTTCAAATGGCATCTTTCAATAAAACTAAAAAGCTAAAAAAGGAAAAGAGTTCACAACAAACGTTAGTGTAAGTATTTAAAATTAACTCATAATGGCTTAGAAACTCTATAGTTGAGCAGCACTTTACGAGTACAAAATGAGCCAATTCAAAGAAGCCTGCCCAAAACTGGTCCAGAGGAACTATCAAAAGATGTATTGGGACTCAGCGTTTGCCCTCCGGCTGGCAGCCAGCGCCAAACTTTCACATTCTCACCCCTGATATTATGCATTTCTGTGCGCACACGTGATTCATGCTTTTCAAGAAATTCAACAGCGTCATCCCAAACACGTTTTTTCCTATCTCGCTCACTAGGAGGTATTAATTCATCCCTACAGTTGTTGATCGCAAGATAGGCAGGTAATGTATTCTGTTCGTGATGTGCTGATAAGAGATTTAATATTTTATTTACCATGCTGTATACTTCTTGTTTGTGTTTGTCCTGCTCACGCTTGTAAAGACGAGCTCCAAACAAAACAGCAAAACCTGAGCCCACAAGAATTCCAATAAAAATCAATACCTTTATCAATTTATACATCATAAGCCTCAAGTAACAAACAGTAGGCAAATCAACACGACGTGCAGCAAAATCACCATTAAATAAGAGAGCGTTTATTTCCGTGAGGCCTTTGCCCATCACTTCCACCTCCCAGTGTGGATTTGCCATCACCAGAATCTTAAAATTGCGCAAATCTCTCTCCAAGTTAGGCCGTGTCACTGAAGGCATTTTCTTTGCAAGATATTTCAAAGCCTCTTCTTCAGACATTGTTGGAAGCTCAAGTGAATTGTTATCAGGTGGATCACAATAAGCTTTAGTTGTCAGCTCCAATATTCTAGGAATCAGAACCTTTGATATATCCAAAGCAGGCTTCAACTGATTATCTGGGACACACAAATTAGGTTCTACTCCCTCCTGTCCACAAACAGGATATTTATTATCGTCCGAGTCAATAGCAGCCAAATGAATAGTGCTAAAGTTTGTATGCAATAAAAAATATACTGCAATTATGAAACCCACAACAGCAATGCCTCCTAATACCCATTTTATAATTTTTTCATATCGAGTAATAAGAGAGTTCACTCGGATTTTAGTTGTAATGTTGCTGTGAGTGCTAATAGGGCGATTCAATAAACTGGTGTGTCCATCTGCTGTTGAAGGTCTAGTAGAAAATAGGTGTTCGTATCTGCTAGATGGAAACTTGTTATCTAATGACCCAATACTTCTTTGGGACACGTAGCTTTGTGTATATGAAGAGCTGCTTGGTTTCCAGTCGGATTTAGGACTCATAGATGACCTGTAACTTCCAGAAAGTCTACCAGCATTTAATCTTGTAAGAAAATCAGATTGAAATACTGGAGGTTTCACAGTGTTCTCTTCTTCCTCCGTATCTTCCTGTTCTTCTTCCTCTTCCTCCTCCTCCTCTTCTTCATACTTTTTAGTTTCTGGTATTCTGCTACTCGAGGGAGAAAACCTACTCGTTCGTCTTAAAGAGTTAATAGATTTTGGAGAATCAACTTTGACATCTTGAAATGTAGACCGTGATGTGTTTATTGTGGATTTCTCCACACTAAGTGACTTTCGTGAACGCGAACGTAGGGCACTTAAAGAAATATCTGAATCAGAATCGGAATCGAAAGATTCTTTCGGTACAGTTACACTGCCTACGCTTTTTCGGTTACGAGTAGTTCTCTCAGAAACACTTGACCGAGAAACATCAATCACAGAGTTGTCGGAAGCAGCAGACAGCTCAGTATGCCCAATTGTTTTCCGCCGTAAGTTTTTAACTTTAGTTGTAGGAGGCGGCATATCAACATCTTCACCTTGGCTCTCTTCAGAACTGTAGCGGAGAAGACTCCGGCGTTGTTTGGCTGGACTGCTAGCATTATTATTTTGCAACTGCAACAGCCTTTTCAGTTTCTTAATTAAAATCTTCCGAGTGGTTTCTGTCACTGGGCCAACAGGTGTCCCGAGTTCTGCAAGTTTCGTACGGATTTCACTGTCTGACCAACTATCAATCGAACCCGCACTTGACGCCATCTTCACAACACACTCCCGATAGAAAACATAAAAACACTGCCGCTACTCCCAACTGTTTGTGCTACAAATTACACACTGAAAACTATTACCATTTCCCTCTTAACGGGCGAATATTGTTTTTTAAATAAAGTTTGCACGAAATAGGGCAGAACTCGGTAACAATTTACTGCTAACCACGAGTTTCACAACCCACTAACGCTTCGCTCATGGCTTCATGACGCTTAACAGTCGACATCGATTGTATGCAGTGTGGATTTCGAGCTTTCGAGATCGACGTTAGATCAGCCAATGAAAAGGTAATTTGAATATTGCATCCATTTCTTCAAACATTACAAATTTAAATGTTACTCAACAGAAAAATACGAAAACTGAAATAAACACAAAATAGATTTACCCATATTCTCGATAAGGCTGTGCACATTTTACGTGCGTAAGAATGTATGCATCTACTAAACTTATCAGCACCAAATCACAAGGCCATGGAATATGGAGTCCCAGTTTCAGGTAATCTTCAATATTTTGTTTCAGAAAAGCATACATATGAACACCTCAAATAATTATTTTACAATTTAAATTTGCCTGATTTTTTAATGATACAGTTTTCTCCTAAATTATAAACGTACAGTATAATTTTTTTGATTTATTTTTAAAAATTGGTGGGATGGCTGTAGGTTTTGGTATTTTTTGCATTCATTACAAAATTAACACTCATTAAATATCAACAATTAAATTCACATATGAGACAGTTTTATTCCCAGGAACCAATGTATTTCTTTTAATTAAACAGTGTATTAAAACTTCACTAACTCCAGAAAGTAAGTTATCAAACAAAAATCGTCAATCAACAAATAGTTTAATATTTAATTTGAATCAATTTTGAAATTATATTCGACATATTTTGGACCAAAAAATGTAAAAAATGAAAAGTAAAAATAATATAAAAAAATTGAGGATTCACTTTATTGAAAAATTGAAGATATCACAGAGATTTAAATCCTCATAATATTTGTAACATCTCAGCTTATTAGTTGTCACAAATTAATATTTTTATCAATTGGAAGTTTCAGTCAATTCAAAAGAACGATAAAGAACAAAGTGCAAAAAAGGGAAGTTGGTCTAACTTAAAAATAAAAATGCAATTAATTTTATTTCAAAACCATACAATGGAATAAAACTGCTTAATTCTCAGTTCAGTGTGTAGTTTTGAAACTGATCTTGAATAGGTGCAATTAATGGAAGAGCACACTAAATATATGCTTAGAGCCCCACTTCTAAGAGGTTCTCTGTCATTTTTTAAACAAAATTTCATTTCATTTCATAAATACTTTAATATCATAAGCTTTTTGAATTGGAGTGTACAAAAAATTTAATAATATAGGGGATCCCATCACTGTGGCGCCTTCAGACATTCACCTAGCCTTGCAACAGCATTTCCAGAACCATTCACAACAAAATCAGTCATAAGTTAACATTAATCTGTATGCAGTGTATCTACAAATTCTTCATCTCTAATTGGCTTTACTATTTTATTATAATCATTCTGACAATACAGAAACATAAAATCAACAAATTTTCTCCAAGGAAAAAGAGTAAAATACAATAAATAAAAATATGAATGTCATGTAACAGTATTTGTATTTCTTTACTCTCAACAATTACTATTTTCTTGCTATTTAGGAAGCTATTTTGAAGGTATATATTTTTGCATGTTACAAAAAAAATTATATTAATGAAAGGTAGATGAAATTACACAAAGTACAAAATCCATAATATAATCTATACATGTTGGTTTGTTTGAGATCAATGAACTGACACTATTTGACCGATCTCCATGAAAGTTGGCACATCTATGTGTTTTGTCATGGAGAAGGTTTTTATACTGTTCATTTTGTGTAACTCTACTAGTTAGCGCTGCAGCACCAGATGGCACTTCAATTAAATGCAATTTCCAATCCACCTGAGCTTCATTGTTGCTGCGGATTGCCGTGAGACACAGGGCAAGGTCAACGAGGGCAGAAGCAAGTGGCTTGGGATAGAGAAGGAAAAAGAGAGGGAGAAAAGGGAGAGAGAGAGCAGGTCAATGTCAGCTGGGTTCTGCTGGTAACTTATAATTTTAGTTGGAGGGCAACTATTTTTAATAACATTACATAACCAAAGAACCACAAGGAACAATACAATTATTCTTTGTATTATACTGTTTGGAAGTGGACACCGGAACAGGTTCTTGAACCTAACTCTTGAAGTGCAGAAGAAGATGATTATACTGTTTTCACTATATTATACAATATTTCATCAATTATCAATCTTTGATACTGCTGTATTATATCTATAAAAGAAGTCTACAAAACAAAAATGTATGTAACCTTTTCAGATTAATTGTTGAAAAATCAACATTACACGAAATTTTTTCAAGAAAGTAAAGTCCCTAAAACCGACAATAACTGTTGCATTGCTGCAGGCATTTAGCTGCAACTGTCATAGGTCAATCACAAATGCTTCTCCCCATCCCATCGAACTTTTTTCATTAACGCAGGGTTGGGTAAATTTTTGCCAATTCCACCATTTTCAAAAAATAAATACAAACTCACAAAAACCCTAGGAAAACTCACTTAAATATTTTAATATTTTTTAATTATTTCAAATAGAATTACAAAATATAATTTTATGATTAAAAACTATTATTAAAAGCTCAAATTTAATCACAAAAAATGCTTACAATTAAGTACAAAATAAAGTAAACTGACACCCGAACTTCAATTCCTAGCATAGAAAACACCAACTTCATAACTACAAACACATAGAAACAAATACAAAGACAACTCAAGAACAAGATAAAGTTACAGAAAAATGGAAACATATTATGCAACTTTGCTACATTTACGAATTTCTTGTTTTATTACATAAACAAAAAAATATTAACAAAAAGTTATAAAATCAGTAATCAGAGAGTAATGATCATATGAGTGAAATCTTAAAACAGGAGAGGGTAATCCTGGCATAAAGAAAATTATTTGTTGCAACAATCCCATTTATTTTTTCTATCTGTGGGTTGTTGTTATTTCAGACATTAAAATTTGGAATTAATATCCAATTTACTGAATAAGAAATATAATTATGATTGTTTTGATGTCTACAAAAGTTCATTTATTTGGAAAAATTTGATCAAATTTCTGGAAAGTTTGCTTTATATTGAATGTCATCAATTCATCACTTACACAAACACCAAATTCAACATACTTCATTGAACCTATGCCTTTACAAATAAAGAAACCAAATGAATCAGAAATTATTATTCAACAAAATAAAAACAATGATTTACAGAAAGAATTCTTAGGAGAGATTTCTTGAGACGTTAAAGAAGCTTCAAAGAGGAAGGAAGGGAAAGAAAAAAAAGAGAGGAAAACATATGCTCTTGAAGTTAAGAAATAGTGTAAGAGTTAAAAAATATGTGCAGATGGACATACCCAGGCATGTGGATGATTTCTTTTATCGTAATATCATTCTAATATTATCTATCTATTCACAAGAATATACAATGGAAAAAAGGTGTTCACTTTTTAAGGTGTCTTTTTCAATCATACCATTTTATAAGAAAAAGAAGACATGATACACATCAATCGCATCTGTGTAATTCCAAATTTTCTTATACCTTGTAAAACTATATTGAGTAAACCAGTATAGAGCTCCTGAGAAATTTGATTTATTGAGAGTGAAACAATCATTTATAAATGATAAAATTAGAGTTATGAGAAGTTTATTTTTCACTCCTAAAATATTTATGTCATTTACAGTGTTTGATCCCTAAGCTTCCAACAGTGTACTACTAAATAGTATACTATGAAAAGACTTTGCAAATACTTAAAAAATATAATAAGCTAATTCAGTTAGTAGGAAATTAAGTAATTACAAAATGTGATAATATTGGCTAAAATAATAATAATAATAATAATAATAATAATAATAATAATAATAATAATAATAATAATAATAAAATTAAACGTTAAAAACGTGCATGTTCTGTCCTATCATTTAGATTTTCACCATGTTAACCATAAAATCTGACATTTGTATCATGTTTTGTCTTGCCAAGGGCATAAAGTGTTTATCAATACCCCATTATGCTTGTGCACCCATTACAAGACTTACTGCATACACAAAATCCAGATAGACACCATTACAAAACTAGTTTTGTTATCCATTTAAAAGTATTGACAATTGTACGCTTTCTAAACAAGAACTTCATTTGTGTGCTTTATTTTCTCATGCATCACTTACCGCTATAATCAGGAAATTTTTAAGACCCTGTGTGCTCACTGACTATATGTTCTCTCCTAACTCCTCTCCCCCCCTCCCCCTCCCCCCTATGTGACCCTTTAGGACTGGCTTTGGACTAATGCAGGATACCAACACAACCTGGCCTCTCCAATTCGTTTGGCTTTAGGCACCTCAGTGGGGTGCCTCCCACAATAGACTAACTTTTCCCCAGCCCCAAATATCCCACCTGGATACTAGTAAAAGAAGCTTGTCATAAAACCCTTGACAAAACATTAAAATCCATTTAAATGTTTTGATGATTTTTCAATTATTTCAAATAAAATAAAACTTATAATTTTATATATTGAAATACTGCACACATCCCCATTTGCAGAGAATGTGTTCTTTTCCATCTTTGTTCTCATATTTAATTTCATATTGTCAGCCTTGTTTTCATACATAATTAATACAACTTCGAAGTAGCAATCATGACAAACAAAGTTTCTAAGAAAACTTTTTCAAATATTTTTCACTTATGGTACATCCTTGTTTGAATCTATCATACAAGTTGAATCCACCATTAAAACTTTTTTTTTAATAATAATAATAATAATAATAATTAAAAAAATAAAAAAAGTTACAAATCAAACTAAGCCTGCAAAACAGCAATTCATACCAATAACATTGCATGAAGGAACAAAACACGTCATTTGATTATTACTACTAAAGTAACTTCATCACATTTCTCTGTTACCAAATAATTATTGGTTTCAAATTATTTCTGAAGTTAAGCCATTATAAGTTAATGTAGATTAATTTACAAATAGACTACACACTATTTTATAAATGCAAATATATACTCTCTTAGAGAGAAAAAAAATCTACATCTTAGAACAAGACATAACAAAAGAAAGAACTTTCAAGGATTCAGAAGACACAAGCTGTAACCTTCACAAGATGCTGAGGGTTAAAATGACCAAGAAAGCATAGTTACCTGAAGTCAAGAGAGTACAAAATGACAAATCATCATCTAACACAAAAGTTAACAAAAAAGAATTGAAGAAATCAGAAGAATCCATATTAGCAATTTCAAATTTATGCATAAATTGATTGAAAACTATGCAGCCTCCAGCTATGTGGGAGGTGTCTATGGGGTTTCATTAGATATCTAGGATCTTGGAAAAAAATCCCAAAATAATGAAAAAGTTTAGATTTTGACCAAAAATGCAAATATTTAATTATGTTATTCAGTCTATTGCCACACTGCACAAACCAACTGAATTCTCATACACAGGGTATTACTTCTTACAGCACAATTGATGACATGCTATAGCAAAGCTTCAAGGAAGAGGCTGTTCACCTTTAAATATTTGCTATTCACACATTGCATTATGGGATAGAAGCTTATTTATTTTCTTGGTATGTAAAGAAGTGTTGCATCTACTATGCAGTATTATGAGAGTATTTTGTTTGTTGTTTTGGAGAAGTGTGTATGCAACTTTTTGGAAAACTATTTTGTGTGGTTGTGGTCAGCTACAGGCCAATAGTTTGTAAACCAAAAAGAGTAAATTCTCAGGCAATGCTTCTCTGAGAACTAGAAACCTTTTACATTTTAGGGGATTGATAAATTACTTCAAGATGGTTTGCTCAAAGGAATATCCCCAAAACTCAGTACGATAAAGAATTTTAACCATCTTGTGGTATTACACAGTCCAGAGGACAGGAGACAGTCTCTCTTGGTCTGATAAAATTGAAATAAAAGGGTCAGTTGTAAACGATGTCTGGTGAGGATGGAGTATATTTTGAAAAAAATTGACGATGAACCTAGTAAAAATGACAACCCTGTAATATTTGTTAAGAAAACTAACAACATGAATGATACACATGTTACACCTGAAATTAAATGTGTGCTAAAATTTAAAAAACTACATTGTAATTACATACCAATATATTTTTCCATATATACCAAGTTATCAAATAAAAATGTAAAATCTCAACTAACATAAAACTTACTTGTAGAAGTACACTTCACAAGCAGCACAAAGTAATCCCAGCAGGCATCGTGTAAAATAAAATATTAATAGGCGATTCGGCTGCAGAAGTTTGTGATATGCCCATGCAGGAATAACGTGTATCAACAAGTACATATAAGACCGCAAAGCGTAATCTGGACTGTACTCCCATGTCTGAAATCCTTTCCCAAAGAGTAGGTAGTGGGTCTACAAAAGAAGTAAAAAATTGTATCATTTGTACATACACCATCTCAGTACATTTTAATTAAAGAGATCTTAAAATGAAATACAATCATTACAATTATTGAGCTTTTACATTTCATTAACAGTGTATGTACTTCATTATTAACAGGTCCACAGTAGAAAATTTATTTTCAATATCTTTACTCACTGGTTCCCAGTAGTTGAATGTCTCATCACAGTCAGTAATATGACTCCAAATAGCAGCGCAAAACCGAGCAGAAAGAAGCACCTTAAATGCTATGTCTCCTGTTGGATAGATTATTCCCATATCAGCTGGATTTGGAGCCATATTGACAGTTCAGCACATCTGTTCAAAGCAAATATTATTTATTACAAAAAAAATTACATTCATGTTTAATGAATTGTAAAACAATTTATCATTTACAATTATAGATGTTATAAACTAGAACATTGCATGTCTAACAGCTAACTAACATTCTTGCTTTATTTTATACATGGTAACAAGTTGTGTCTGTTTTAATGCTCGAAAATACTACTTAACTGATATGGTTGCGTAGGGCTTATAACTATAGCGTAGGTATATAACTATATATGAAAGAAAAATTCAGTTTTATTTCAAATATGCAGATACTTTATAAATATTGATTTACTATCTTAGAAAAAAAAATTTTTATTTTTGGTTGTTGTTGTTAATAACTTTAACTTGCATTCTTATTTAGAATGTTGCAAAATATAAAAATGTTACTTTTTCAAAGATCTGAGAAATTTTAGTGCCAATCAATAACACATCAATATGTTTATAAAAGAAGTCAGCACAAGCATATTACTTTCATCAAATTCTGTACAAGTAATATTAACATTATATACAGATGATTCAGAATAAATGTTAGAACTTGGGTCTCTCGAAGGGTCAAAAACTTTTTGCCAAAATGCATACAGCAGGAAATTGCATATACCTGTTTTATAAACTTTGACACATGTGGCATTTGTCCCAGATTTTTAGGCAATCCTGTATGCACACACGTTTGACAGGAACATAAAAATCTCCTTGACTTAGAACGTGACCTTCCAAACATGTATGCACATGGGGTTGCCTAAAAAAATCAGGGGCTGAAAATTGAAAAGTTCTATGAACATTTTGTCAGCAAAAATACATGGGAACCTGCTCAACCCAACAAAAAAATTCTTCATAAACATAATTTCGACTTCATAACAAAGACTTTGAAATATGCTAACTAGTCAGCTTTTTGTCAACTCACACCTCAGCTGTTGACATCTGTTCAAAAAATCAGATCCTGTCCCATGTTCAATTCGTAGTTCCCCAATTACTCTAACCCACATTATTGTTAAATATATACAGGAACTCTTCAACGTAGGAACAAACTTGAAATTAATCATGATATGCATAATGATTAACTCCCCTTCAAAAAGTGTTAAAATTACCTACCTGTTAAGGGATATTAAACTTGAGTAAAATTATTAAAAATTCTAATATCTGCCAATTAAACACGTGTTATTGTTATCCAAGGTCACTAATGACCATGTAAAGCGAATGAAAAGCGATATTAAATTAAATAACTTAATCAAACAATGGGTCAAAGATCCCACTTCTTTAAATTATCATATTGATTACAGAAAGTAACATATATATATAGATATAGATATAGATATAGATATATAGATATATATATAGATATATATAGATACACACACACACACACACCATTTTCACAAAAGAACTGTATTTTTAATTAATAATAATAATAATAATAATAATAATAATAATAATAATAATAATAATAATAATAATATTTATTGAGTCACATATACAATTACAATCGTGTATGATGAGTGAATATGATGTCTTGGGTGGAGAGAGCGAAGTTACATTACTATTCAGGAGCAAACAAGGGGCCATCTCTGCATTTGCTCAAGGGGCCAGGGAAACTGAACAAAACCTGATCGAGATGGGGTCATTGACCTAGAAATTATATATATATATTTTTTTTTTACAAAAAAGGACAGTGAAAAATACGTTTTCAAACATGGAATATAAATGTTGAGTTTTTTCACCGCAAAAAAATCACCTCTTGTTTTAATTTTTATGGCCCAATTATGAAAAATCTCAGTAAATTTAAACAATTTTATTTGTCAATACCTGTTTCAAAATTATTTTAATTGTTTGCTTAAACAAAAATTATCAGCTAATATCATGCTTTGTTCATTAATTCACATATTTTTTCATAAAAGAAATATCATGTTTAAGCAACTTGCAACTGGATTTTGAAAACATTTTTGAGACTTTAAATAAACCTTGTGTATTAGTGCTGAAAAGTTGTAAAACAGAGCTTCCAGGACATGTGAAAAGACGAGATTTTGTGACAGAACCCCCTGATGAAACTGACAATAAATCTACACAAACTAGTATGTATTAAAGACAGAAATAGCATTCTGAATAACTAAAGAGGATACAATAAAAAAAACCTCTCATTTTACATACTAATTAAACGAAATTTTCATATTTCTATTCCTCTTCCATAGAAATAAATTACCCAAAGGACTGGAAAATGGAAATGGATCTCGGACTATTTTAAAAAAATAAAAGAAAGTTAAAAGCAGTAACACTTTGATGAAAATTTAAGAAATTGTTACTTAGCAATTGATCCAATTCACCACGCACAACAACAAATAACACAGAACTTAACTATTTAAAAATGTATGTGTTGTACTCCAGTTATCATGTTTTATTTTTACAATTCTGGCAATGAACCTATAATTAAAAAAATTCATAACCTTATTAACACAGTGTATTTTGCAATCTTAAAACGATATACAATGAATACCTCAAACAAAAACTTAATTTTCGTTCGTTTTCGATAAAGAAATTTTTTTAAATAAAAAAAGTAATAGAAAGGCATACCAATATCAATGAAATACAACTGACACCCTCTGCCAACACTGCACCTTCGGCACGGCGAGGGCCTGACACGACCACGAGCACCGCCGGCACGAACAGCTCAAATGTCAATGTCAGTCATACGTCACACCACCCAGACACCACCTCTCGCACGAAACAGCGACAGCAGCGCTGCAGCCAGATGGCAGCGATTACTATTCCATGAAGCACAGACATCGGTGAGGCGCTGCGCAACCCATGCGGCTCCTGCCAATGAGCTTCATGCATTATTTTGTGTCACAACATTAGCGCCAATTTTAAATCCAATCACATACCAAAATTCTCACCTTGTTGCACGTCATGGAAACAGGTATATAACGTTTTTTTAAATATTGCGTCTTTTATTTCAACTACATCTCCAGCGTGTTATTTATGGTTGGTCGTTGAAAATTGTCACTTTATGTCACTTTTCTCAACACTTCTCGCTTGCCATAAAGTATGGCGGCCAGCGTCTTGCTTGGCTTTTTAATCGCAGTGCCCTTGTTACTCAAGACGCAAATAAAATAAAATAAAATTAATTTAATAATGAATTCTTTGATTGTCTTTAATACAAGAGGATACCACAGAATAAAATAAAACTTACCATCGTGTTTCATTCTACTATACTTCGATTGAAGTAGAGTAACTAGTGACATTTGATTGGCTAGGTGCGATTATCCAATCGGCAACTCCATTAAGATTTATTTTTTTGGTTTTGAAGCTCTCTATTGCATAACCGTGTAACGGCGGACTGTATGTGAGTAGCTATTCTAGGAGAATACCGGATCTTTATCTTAACTCGCAACCCACCTGTTTTGGCAATTTAGAAACGCGTGAAATACCCTCGACACCCCTTTCACATTTAGCGACCTACAGTCGCTTGTCCTCAGACGTAGGACTGGGAGAATGGAGTTAATTTTAGTTGGAAGAAAGAGACGGCACCTATTCTGTCCGTGTTACTCTTCAATGTACTGCAGCCGCTGCACTGAAAGGAGGAAACGCCTGTCTCTCCGCAAATGGTGGTCCCTTTGAGCATTCACTCGGTTAGTTTTTTGTAATATTGAGGAAATTATATTTTATTATTTTTATTCATTGTTTTCAATAATTATTAATTTAATACTTATTTTTGTTTAATTGGTATTTGTAATAATTTTATTGAGAGTTTCTAATTATCTTAATAATCAAATTTCGTAATAATATTATATTATTATTGTTATAAATAATGAAAAGCTTCATGATAATGTTTCACGAATATCTTTTTGATTTCTCTCTGAGTCGTCTTCCATTAAATAATAATTATTGTTACATTGCTGTTAATAAATCGATATCTCAGTGATAACTTCCCCCCACATCTTTAATACTACAGTTTTGTTTCCTAAGCACAGGTCAGAATCGCCTAAAAAGACGTTTTGTTTCCTGGTCATGTCTCTGCCCCCTCCACCCCACCCCAAACACTCTGCGCAGCGTAAAAAGATCCCGGCAAATGAGTTGGATATCTGCCCGCCTAAGCTCTTGAATGGGAGAAACACAGAAACAGGGAAGTTGCTGACGCTCACCTCCCCCGTTGCTTCGATGTGCCAGGCACGGCGGCCATGGAAGGAGGCAAAGGCACGCGGTTGCCAAATTGCCAAAACAGGAACAAGTGCTCTCAAACAAGGGTTGCGAGTTAAGCGAAAGATTCTATATATTGTATTATCCGCGTACATTTTCTTGAGCCCTCGCTTCGCTAGTAGCGAAATGAGTGGAAAGTTTGGTTAATTTCACAAAAGGAATTTTATATCAAAGTGATTCGTTCGTTTTTCGATGCAAAATAGTTTCTAATATATGGGAGAGAACATTTCTGGTTATCATATTTTGTACACAACGCCCTTTGTTATTACTTATTCTTAAATCATTTAATGTTGGCAAAGAAGTGGGGGTAGATATTCCGGGGCTTTATAAAACGTGCGCGTATGGATCTTGATTGATACTGGCAAAAAGTTGACAGAAGAAATTAAAACAAATGAAGGTTTTAGACGGGGATGCATTTCTCCAACATTGTTTATTTTATATCTTGACGACATTTTTCACAAATAAAGATAAGTTTTTTACTAGGGAGTTCATTTAAACCCAGCGCAAATGAAATCCAACCTTTTTGCATATGATGTGATTCAGCAAACATGCTACAAAGAGGGATCTATATATTTGAAGGTTATAACTTTAAAATATTTACCATTAAAACTAAAGTTATGACTTTTCATGGAAAATATCGTCATATCAAATATAGTATAAAGACTGAAGAGAAAGATTCGTTTTAATTACATGTGATGCGAAGTATCTTTTGTGTTTGACGACGATGTCACAAACAAATTAAACAGGTTTAAACATACACTATGTGATCCAAAGTATACGGACACGTGGCTGAAAATGACCTACCAGTTTGTGGCGTTTTCCATAGGTAATACTGGAATTCAATAGGGTGTTGGCCCAACCTTAACCTTGATGACAGCTTTGAATTTCGCAGGCATACTTTGGATCTTTTTTTTTTAAATTGTTGCGTCGGGTCTCTAAGCCGCGGGGGCGTTGCGCTTTGTTGGGAGTAATGCTCCATTAACTATCTAGTTATTTAATGTCACGTCTTGTCGCTGACAGTTGTCGAGAGGACCGCCAGGTAGCATCTCCGCGTACGCGCCTCCTACTACGCGCTCCTGCGTCATTACCCACCGACCAGAATTGGGAAGGAATAAGTATAGGGGTAGGGTTTAGGACACTTCCCAGGGGTTGGACTAGCCCCTGTGAAGCATGCAAACTCGTTTGGTCGTAACAAATTTCACATGAGGTTCTACGGGGATTCTACGAGAATCGAACCCTGAAAGGTGAAGGGCAAGCGACTTCGCCACTGAGCCACGAGAGCATTTCGCAGGCATGCTTGAAGGTTTCTTGGGGAATGGCAGCCAATTCTTCACGGAGTGCCGCACTGAGGAGAGGTAACGATGTAGGTCGGTGAGGTTATGATGAGAGTATGTTGCTATGAAAAAGAAATACAATTATGCCCATATGTGGACAAGAACATGTATAGACCGCACAAATGGCGTGTAAATGGCAAATGATCTGTTACTTACACAGGATGTACCTGTTATATATCTCGACATGCTGCAAGCCTTTGACAAAGTGCCGCACAGTACACTCATCACAAAACGTCGGCGCTGCCTTCCACAAGACGTAACCGAAATGGTTAAGTCGTTCCTCACACATTCGTGGTCAATGTGGGCAAAGCGAGGTTCTCAAAGCGGAGGATTGCGGCCGGAGTCCCTAAAGGTTCCGTCTTCTCTCCGCTGCTGTTCTCGTCGTAAGTCAATGACATCCCGCAAATACTGCATGCTCGCATATCGCTATCCCGCATACGCTCTTCCTTTATACTGATGACAGCCGTCTTAGCAAGAGGAATAAGCCTAGACCACAAATTGAAAATAATTCCAAAACAGATGAACCTGACGCTGAAGTGGGCGGAACACAACCACTTGACTTTTTCAGCGGAAAAGTCACAGACAATCTCTTACACCCACCGCAAATACAAATACAGAAAAGCCTACAGGGAAAGCAATTTTCGGATAACACAAGGGATTAGAACATCATGTAAAAGCACACGAATTCTTCTTTCATTTCTAAGCATCATAAAGTATCTCATGATTTCCTCATCTACTTTAAAAAATACAAATCATTGTTAAGAAAAGTCATAAGGCAGGCTAAAATCATGAAACATTATCAGGATATTTTCAACTCAAATAATAAAACAAAGGCAATGTGGAATATAGTAAAAAAATCGACCAAATCAAATAGAAACCTTGTAGAGAATGTTGTTTTAAAAGATAACGATAGAAATGTGAACGATCAGGTAACAGTGGCTAGTCTCTTTAACCACTATTTTTTGAGAATTGCAGTCGATCTCACTAAGGGTCTTCAGCCACAAAATTTAACGTCAGACGATTCCCGAAAAATTTTAGTCATGATGTTCGTTTCCGAAACTTCTTCCAATGGAATTATCAAAACAATCGGTAGACTAAAAAAACGTATTAGGCCGCTTTAGATGAATTTCCGGATTGTTTGTTAAAAAAAATGTGCGCACGCCATTTACACCCGTTTACTCACACATTTAATGTATTCTTATGCACAGGAATTCTTCCAGTTATTTTTTAATCAGCTAAGATTAAGCCGCTTTTCAAAAAAGACAAGAAACGTGAAATTCAAAATTTTCGACCAATTTCACTTTTGGCGGTTTTTTCAAAAATATTAGGGAGACCTTTTTACGTACCTTGGAAACCTTTCGTAGTAAACACGACATGTTTTCAAATTACCAACATGGATTTCGAAAATCAAAATCTACGGAAAAAGCCATATTTTCTTTTCTTAAAGATGTCATCTCATCTATGAATCAAAACGAACCACCTGTTGAAAAATTTTTAGATATTTCAAAATATTTTTACGTCATTGATCATAACATTTTACTTTCAAAATTACTTTCGTATGGAATTCCTGGCATTACTCTAGATTGGTTATGTTCGTATCTTAAACGACGATCTGAGAGAGTAGAAATACCTTACTGGAATAATGGAACATTATGTACACCTTTCTGATTCTTTGCCAGTTGCATGTCCAGTCCGCAGGGATCGATTTTAGCCCCTATTCTCTTTCTACTATACGTGAACGATATGTCCTCGAAGATTAGAAACGGATGAACAGTTCTCTTTGCGGATGAAACGAATATTCTTTGCAAGAAAGAAACCGGAAATAGTGCAACATCATATATTTCAAATTGTTTCCGTAATAACAAATTAATAGTAAAGGAAAAGAAAACGGTTTCAATGCAGTTTTCCATTTCAAATAGCAGCTCTGTATTGAAAATGAACGCTGTGCTATTAAAATATGTTAAGGTAACAAACTTTTTTGGTCTTTCAATTCAGGCAAACCTTAAATAGAACGTCCATATAAATTAATTGAACACTATATTAAGTTCCTTATGCTACGCTTTCAGAATTCGTTAAAATTCAGTCTTCATACAGCTTGTGTCTATTTTGCGAATGTTTATTCTCGCCTGAGATATATCATAATATTCTGGGGAAATATATGTTATATCTCCTAGATTTTTAGATGACAAAACAAAATTATACGAATAATAAGCAAATCCCACCCACGTGATTCTTGTAAACCACTCTTTATTAATCCAGGTATTTTACTATTAGCTTGTCTCGTAATATACAAAACAGTGGTCTTGGTGTGGGGTCATATCAGTCGCCTTGTACAAACGTACCAAATATCAGCCACGTGCATTTCATGCTCATGGACAGCGCTGGCGGGAAGAGACGCCGTGGCTGAACAATGGCAAACCTAGGGAGCGGAAGGGAAGGGGTGCCGTGTCGTTGGTGGTCACTTGGGAACCCCGTAGGCAGGTCAGCGGCGGAAACGCGTCGGCGGAAACAGCGAGATGACGCAGTTCCGTCAGCCG